GGGAAATCCCTGAATCAGAGCCCTCCAAATCATCCGCAGAACCCCGAGAGCTGGGCCAGCCATACTGAGATTGGTTCCTGTTTTGCTTGTGGTTGATTTGGACACCTCCAGCGACAGTGCCCAGTCATGGACTGCTCCTCTGGCCAGGTTTACACCGGAGAGGCCCATGCCCGCTTAACTGTCCCCATGGGCCTTGGCAGGAAACAAGTGCATGACCTGGTGGACTCTGGCTGTGGGCAAACCCTAGTGCATCAAGTATCAGAGGGGTAGCCGTGTTAGTCTGAATCTGTAAAAAGCAACAGAGGGTCCTGTGGCACCTTTGAGACTAACAGAAGTATTGGGAGCATAAGCTTTCGTGGGTAAGAACCTCACTTCTTCAGTGGGGCAGGACAGAAAGTATAAAAGGCAGGCCCTACAGCTCAATTGGGCTGGAGCTGGTGAAGGAGACAGTTGCCTCCTGCCCACTGCTGGGGCTTGCGCCTGAGGGGGCCCTCTGCAGTGCCGAGGATCTAAAGGGACTGCCAGAGCTGACAGTCGACAAGGATGCTGAAGAGTTGCTGGGACTGCTGCTAGCTGTGTACCCTGGGGAGACAGAGGACCCCCACGAACTGAAGGTACCCAGTGAGAGGATCATAGGAAGTAGCCCCAGGGACACCAGACAATAATCCGGTTGTGTGACCAGAATACTGGTCAGCATGTTGTAGTGGGATCCCCACTGACCCAGTAGCGGAGCCTTCCACCACAGTTAGGGCCCTGGGCTGGGACCCGTGGAGTAGGATGGGCCAGGTTCCCACACCTCCAGCTGCTGCCCCACCCCTGGGGTGGCTACCTCCCCATCTTAAGCCAAGAAGCCTGCATTTGTCTGCCTGCCAAGACTGCAGGCCCTAGACTGTTAGATGTTCTGCCTTGCCTGAGGGCCTGAGCCACTAGACTGTTGGTGCTCCGCCCTCCCTAGGGCTTCCGAGGCTGTTAATTTCCCTTTACACTGGTCTTTACAGAGACACAGCAGCGAGGGGGCGTGGCCTCCATTCAGGCCTGATGGGGAGGGATGAACAAGACCCTTTATAGTGGTCTTTGTTTCTAGTGCTGAAGGTCAATAATGAGCTTTAGCCTCCGGGACAGCAGTCAGCCTTGTCATTCAGGCTGTTCCTCCTTCAAAAGGTTGCAGTGATTTTTTTCCCCTTCCTCCTCATCTGAAGTTATCAGAGCATAAGGAATGCAACAATACTACTCCATTAAAGCGGGAATCTCTGGTCACCTCCAATAGAAGCTGAACAGGAGGCTTTGATGCCTGCTGTGCTGTCAGTATGGCAGTGAATTTCCCTTGGATACCGATCCCCTATTTGAAGTTCACAAATTTGGAACATGTGGTTCAGCAATATTCTCAATTTCTTTTTTAACAAAAACATAAAAAAAATTGTTGGGAGTTGATAACAGGCTTAAACAGCACCATGATATGTCTTGCCATTTTTTTTCTGCTTCTCTTCAAGAAAAACACCAAGAAAACAAAACAGGAAAAGATTAGTATCAGTATTTATTTATTAATGATGCTAATGACTTCATGACTAATCAGGGATCGGGGTGCCATTGTGCTACTCTCTACGTACACACAAATTGAAAAGTTACTCTTTGCCTCAAAGAGTTTATATAAATATAAGGCCCAGTTCAGGAAAATCCTTGAGCAAGTGTTTAATTTTAAGCATGTGTTTAAATTCCATTGAAATCAATTTCAGTGGGACTTAAACACATGTTTAAAGTTAAGCACCGTTCCTATAGAGGGATGCTTTCCTACTTCGAGACCTAAATAGATTCCTCTCCATTTCATGAGTATGAAGACTGTATTAGAATAGATACAATGGTTTGTTTGGAAAATCATACATTCAAATTCATGGAGGTTGTATCCAAGTTATGGAGAGGAGAATTTGGCCTATCTACTGATCTTTCCCTCTAACCCTGCCAGTCAGGGATGATTACACAAAGGAATGCTGTATGTGAGTCAAATACATGAGTGGGAACCTGAAATTCAAGCTTAGCTGGGATTTGGATATGACCTGTACTTTCTGCTACTGTACAACAATTTTCTCAAGGTGTTTTAAGTCCGTCAGATTCTTCTCTTGTGAGATAGAGATCAGTACATATGTACAATATCATGCATTACATCCTTGGCTGGTTTGAACTGATTTATGCCAAGTTACATTAGCTGAGGCTCTGGCCCCATGAACATAAATGGTGCTTTACCAATCACACAGGATGGGGCTTGCAAAATCCATTTGCCCATGAAAGAATGCCTGGCTTGGGGATGGTAGAAAGCAAAAGTGGATGGTTTGGGGGTCATGGAAGAGCTTGGGAATTCCTCCACTTGGTTATGGTGCCTCATTATATATTTTTAAATAGTGGAGATATAAATCATGACAGTAATTAGTTTTATTGAATATATATCATTGCAGAATACGAAATTCATGATATTTTCAATAAGAATATATAAAACCTATAACACAGCTGGCCACACAGAGCCTGGCATTTAAAATGTGAGATATGACGTGTAAATAAGATATGATTGTGACAGGTTGCCCCCCTTCTGGGGTGCCACCTGATGTACTGGGGTACCACTGAGCCCACTTGTTCCACCAGTGTGGGCTCCCTCACCCTGTCCTGCTAAGCCAGACCCTCAAGACTTCTCTAGCACACACACAGGTAGGGACACACCCAGCTTCCAAAAGACACAGATAATGAAATCAGTACTGCATGGGAAGGCTTTCAGCTAAGGAATTGCCCAGTGCCCCCACTCTCCCTCTGGAGAGTAAACTCAAAATTGTATTGTGTTGCTCTGCACCGAGAACTGTACAGCATGAGCTAATTGAAATTCGCCCTCTCCCTCACTGTGGAGAGAGAGATGCACAGTTTTTTGCCTCCCCAGTTATGAATTACACAAACTGGGTTTAGAACAAAAACAAGTTTATTAAGTACAAGAGGTAGATTTTTAAGTGATTATAAAGGATAGCCAACATATCAAAGCTGATTACCTTAGTAAATAAACAAAAACTGCAAACTGAGCTTAACATACTAGATACGTAGGATATAAATTAGCAAATTCTCACCCTGAGTGATAAACTGGCTGGCAGACTTCTAAGGCACAAGTTGTCTTGGCTTTCCCAGGTTTTCATATACCAGCAAAAGATCCTTCTAGCCTGGGACCATTACTTCCCACAATTCAGTCCTTGCCCCTCAGGTATTTCCAAGTGTGTTGTTGCAGGGACAGTGAGGTCCCCCCCATGATGTCATTTCCCTCCTTTTATAACTTTTTCCCACTTGCTGGAAAGCTCTTATGCTGTGACATGCGTCAAACATTTCCTATTGTGTAGAGCTAGCTCTGAGAGGTTTCTATTGTACACAGTTCCTGGGGTAATCCTTGTGCTTGTGTGCATTTCCTCAATAAGCCATTAACATTGTTTGGCCTTTTTATTGTTGTACCTTTCAGGTACCTTTTATTGTTGTACCTTTCAGGCTGCTTGTGGGTATTTTCAACCTAACAACATGTTTCAGTAACACATACATAGCCAAACTTCATAAAGTCACATACGACGATAACACATACAATCCAACGAGATATTAATGTCTAGCAGGTGAAGAGTTTTAGAATGATGCCCTAGAAGACATACTTTGTACAAAACATATCCTAATTACATGACAGTGGTGAATATTGGGGTGTCAGGGTGTCAGAATGATCATGGAGGATAGGTCCATCAACGGGTATTAGTCAGGATGGGCAGGGATGCAAAACCATGCTCTAAAGTGTCCCTGCCTCTGTTTGTCAGAAGCTGGGAATGAGTGACTGGGGATGGATCCCTTGATGATTACCTCTTCTGTTCATTCCCTCTGAAGCACCTGGCATTGGCCACTGTCAGAAGACAGGTTACTGGGCTAGATGGACCTTTGGTCTGACCCAATATGGCCGTTCTTATGTTCAAATTGTCCATATTTAGCTATACATGCTTACGTTAGCCATATTGGCACTATTAACTTAAAAATACCCAATAACAGATTATTAATGACATCATATATTTTTTCACTGAAAAAGGATTCTGGGATATTAAATCATGAGAGGAAAAAGTGATGGTGGAAGGATGGTCTAATAGTGGACAGAGCACTGGACTGGGACTCAGGAATCTTGGGTTTAATTCCTGGCTCAGCCATTTCCATTGTGACCTTAAGCAAGTTACTTGATTTACGCTGAGTTTCAGTTCCCCATCTATATAATAGGGACATTTCCCTTCCTCACAGGACTGTTGTGAGGATAAAATTAATTAATAATTGAGAATGATTTGAACACTACAGTGATGATGGCCATAAAAGTACCTAGATAGTGGAAGAGTAAAGTTGGTGGTTTTGGAATCATGGGTGGAAAAAAATTGAAACCCTAACCACTAAATTATGCTATCATTTATTCCATACACTGAGGTACTACCCTAGACATAGCTGAAATTTATTTTGAGTGATGTTGTTTTTATCCCAGTAGTGCCTAAAGGCCCCTATCAAAGATAAAGATGCACCATATTGGATGCTGTACAGATAATAATGAAAGACAGGTGCAGCTCCAAAGAGTTCACAATCTTAGTCCAACACAAGATGCAACAGGTGGGTGAAAGGAATTGGGAGGATGATGAAGCAGAATGTGACAACAGTGATACAAACCTATTTTTGCAAAGATTAGCTACACATGCAGTTTGTAGGTGTAGATTTTTTTAAAAAAATTCCTCTTTGCTAATGGAGACAGATAAGATGATCAATAGCCGTAATTTGAGATTTGGCTCCAGTGCTGTCAGTTAAGTAAAAAACAGAAGTCAATTTGCACCTCAATTTTTACAGTGGTTTTCTGAACTAATTAATTGTGTTCCTGATTTTCATGGGTGGGACTTTGGTGACTGGTTGCTTTAGTGACAGCTCACCGATGCTGCTAATTGCCTTTCCAAGTAATCAGTTGTAAATGATTGTCTTCACAGCTTTTTCATGTGCTTCTGGTGAATACCTAGAAATGAAGAATCAAATGTGCAGTAAATGTGCCGCGGGGACATATTCCTTGGGCAGCGGGATCAAGTTTGATGAATGGGATGACCTGCCAGCAGGATTCTCCAATGTGGCAACTTTCATGGACACGGCTGTTGAATCAGCTGAGAATAAAGCAGATAGCTGTGACAAGTAAGAGGCTTATGGGCTGGTCTGTGGCGACACTGGTGAAGGGGTTGGTTTGACTCTCATGGATTTCAGTGGGCTTTGGATCAAGCTCATAGTTTGCTGTGGGAACCAGTTGCTCCGGTAGTATAGTAACATGTAGGTGGTGGTCACTGAAAACAGTGACAGGTAGACTACGCCCCTCAGAATGGAATGCTGGTTATGTGTTAGTGAAAGCTCTTGGAGTTTGATGATGCCATCAGCTGGTTAACGAAGAGGACAGTTGAACCTGCTATGCTGTGTGTAAGTACAGAAAAATACATTGTGCAATAAAAGCAATCTCTGCACATTGCCAAGAAGCACACTTCAGGGATATTGAATAATTGAGAATAAAGGATAAATAAAATGGGCCCTATTTGACCCTGCTGGTCCACTGGGACAAAGTTAGTTTCACCATCTACCCAAGCCTTCCTCTGTGCTGGAGAACTCCTCAAGTGGCATAGAGCCAGCGGAGTAGCATGATAGGAGTGGCTAGTGAGCCACTACTTTCAGCCAATCCCCTGCTGTCATAATGGCCTCCTGGATATCATTAGCAACCAGTGAAACTTGGAACAGCCCTGAACTGCTTTAACTTGTGCCTGAGTGGCTCTGGGATCAAGGAGGAGTAAAGGTAGCTTAAAATTACGTTTACACCCGGCATGATCTGTGCTGATTGCAGAAGGGCTGTTCTTAAGGATATGGCCCTCTGTATCCTAGACAAGCCTTCCTGATTGGGATGCATTAGAAGTTTCCAGGAAACAACATACGTTTGCCCCCATTCACAATTTTGATATGCAAAAAGGTACGTTTTGACAGAGCTCATAATCCTTTGTGTGAAAAATATGTGGGAAACCGATGTGAAAGGGTTGGGGAGTGAATCTAGCCACAGTGGGGTACTGTGTCCTTTACTGAGCAATATATTTTAAAATAGGAATGTTATAAATGTCTTCAGGGTTCCTGTGATCTAAAATAAGCCTTGTTTTGTTTATCTTTATCCAGCTCTTCGTGGACTCCTCGTGGGAATTACATAGAGTCCAACAGAGATGACTGCACTGTTTCTCTAATCTATGCTGTACATCTGAAGAAATCTGGTTTTGTCTTCTTTGAATACCAGTATATTGACAATAACATCTTCTTTGAGTTTTTTGTAAGGCTTTTATACGCTGCATCTAACCTCAAAGTAAAGAGATGTGTTCCAGATAAAGACCTATTTTGGAATCAGCTTAGTTTTCTCCTCATCCAAGTTATTAATATCTTTAGCTTATTAAATCTGAACAAATTTTAAAAATCTCATTTCCCCTCTACCATTTATGCTGCCTGTCTACTTTTTGCATTTCATTCAGCTTTGACAACAAGCCTAAGCTGGTTGCTTTCACTGTACGGTAGGTTTTTCATAAGTGCCTAAGGGAGGTAGGAGCACAAAACCCATTGAAAGTCACCTTAATTTCTAGTCCCTTTCATAGCTAGGTTGTCTACAGTTTGCGCAGTGCTATCAGTGACATGCCATCTGTGTATGCAAGGCATGCATTGCATGTCCCAGGACCAGCTATGCCCATGGGATGATTCTGTCTGACCTCTGAATGCACATGGAGGACATAATATTTTATAACAAAATGGCCCCACATGTGCCAGGTCACACTGTATGTGTGATGTGTGCAAGGTCACGCTGTGTGGTGGACACCATTTTGTTCTACAGAATGGTGTCCTCCATGTGGCGTGACCTTGCATGTATGGTGCGTGAGGTCACACTGTTCCACAAATTGACAGCCTCCAGACAGTGTGACCTCACACGCATCCTAAGTGTGAGATCATACCACATGGAGAATGCCATTTTGTGAAGCCCTCCACACAATGTGACCATGCATGCACTGTACATGTGAGGTCACGCCTCATGGAAGACATCATTTTGTGTGCAAGTGTAGAATTGCATGCCTGATTAAGAATGCCATGGCATGCCACTGAATGCCAGGACGTTTGGGTTCCTAGAACCAAATGGGAATGTTTAAATTCTCACAGAATCCATTTTTTCATATTTCTTTTGAATGTCATGAAAACATTCCTGGGCCTTGATAATATGTCTGATCCTACAGTTCTTCCATATGTGAGTACTGTTCACTCATGTAGGTAGTTCTATAGATTCCAGTGGGAGCTCTGGCATGAGGAAGCTCTTAAGTTTGGGTCTAGAGTAGAGCTGGTGAGAAATGGTTTTCCCATCCCGTGAATGCTTTCGAGAGATTGAAATTTTGTCCCGTCTCAAATCCGGATGGAAAGTCAGAATCTTGAAAATATTCACAAACTGAAAAACTGAAACTTTTTTTTTGGTTCAGAACAATTCAAATGTCTTGTTTTAATTTAGCCTCTTTTTCTTTAACCTTTTCTTTAGTCTGATCAGCTGAAATTTCAAAACGAAAAGTTGTGTAGAACCAGAAAAATAGGTCAGTTTTGAACATGTTGAAACAAAACAGTTTTGAAACTTTTTTCCTCAATGTTGTTTTCAAGCCAGGAAATCCATCAAAACTGACCCTCCTGTGCCAATAGTTTCGGTTTCAACGAATGGCCTTTTATGACCCCCCCCCCAAATTGTTGAAAAATTCCTGATGAATTCTTGTCCAAAGTCCCTTTAACTTGGAAAAATATAATCTAGTTTGGCCAGCATTGTTTACACAGACAGTTGTGTGGGACTCTAAACATGTGAATGTCCTTACGACATTCTGGAAATGAGAATCCCAGTGTCAGACAGGTGGCAGCTTAATCCCAAAGTTTCAGAAATGGCTAGTAATTTTGGATGCCTCTGGTTTTGGGTGTCTGATCTGAGACACCTTCAAGGGACCTGATTTTCAGAAAGAGCTGTGAACCTGCTTTCTGCTGAAAAGTGTCTCAAGTTGGGCACTCAAAACTCAAAATCACTAGTCACTTTTGGAAATCTTGGTCTCCATCTTTGGGAAAGGATCGGTCTGTGTCGCTACCATGCAGAGAGAAGGATGAAAAGTGAGCTATTTCTGAGGTTTAAGAAAGGGATTTTTTAAAGAGCTCCACGCAGCTTTCACTGCCCACTTGGTATTTCTTCAGACAAGCACCTTCTGTGCTTTCTTCCATGCTTCCTTTCATGCTTGAGAGTTGCTTCCTGTAACTATCCACAGAGCTACCTCCTTATCCACCTTCAAATCCCTCCTTAAAACTCGCCTTGTGACGCCCACAAAAAACTTGACAACTTACAGAGACCACTGCCTATCATGGTGACAGACATTGCCATTCTAAGCCCCTTGGGGCAGAGACCATCTTTTCGTTGTGTGTTTGTACAGCACCTAGCACAGTGGTATCCTGGTCCATGACTATGGCTCCTAGGTGCTATGGTAATCCAAATAATAATGATAAAAAGACTTAGGAGTGCAGATTCCATTGATTTTCAGTGGGACCTATAAGTCACTTATGTGCTTTGAAAGATTCTACCCTGAGCTATCTCGCTTTGCCTGTCAGTGTTGCATTTGCTGCTGAGTGTTGAGAAGGGGGCAAATGAGGACTTAAAACAGAGAGAGATGGCAGCTCAGAATAAGTGTGCTGGAAATTGTCCATCTCCTCTGTCTCCGACTTTCTCTTGCTGTCTCTGGCGGGTGAGTCATTGCCATCTGCAAAGCACTGTCATGCTATTTCACAGCAGGGCTAGGCCTTAATTAATGTTTTTACTGGATTTTGAGATGCTGAGATGAGAGCCTCTCTATCTAAGTGCAAAGCACCATTATCCTTAGTAAGGGATAAGAGAGGAAGACAAAAAAAACCTTGATTTTGATGCCTGAGGCCCTTTATTGCTGCGGCTGTTACTTGAATAAAATCTACTGCACTTTGATAATAGAAAGTGCATACTGTATTATTAAACCTCTTTCGCTTTTTATCGTATGTCCTGCCTGATTCATAAGAAGTAAGCAGCAAAATGTGCTTTTACCGCCAGATGCATGTAGCAGAATATGATCCTCCCTGTGGTTTCTTGACTGACTAGTGATTGATTTTTCTCCTGCAGAGGAGCAAAAACATTGTTTATTTGAGCACTGGGTCTGAAAGCTGCTTCCCACATATTATTTGCTCTGATCAACATAGCACTGATGGTTGGTCACCTCCTTACATCTGTCGTTCCCTTTATATGTATCAATTAGCAGGCTGTCATTTTAAAAGCCATTAACCAAATAATTGTAACTTGGTAGCTAGCTTTTCATCCTGAAGCTCTGAACTTCAGGGCTCCATATGTAATAGGCCTTTAAGCATGCACTTTTCCCCAGAATGCATTGTTGATTAAATATTTTCAGTCATTACATCAGCATCCCCCTATAGTTTGGGTATAGAATCTATCTGTCTTAGATATTTATATGGCCCCCATGGCATCTAAATACCTCATAATTTTTTCACATATTTAAACTTCCCACACCTCTGTGAGATAGGGCAGCCCCATTAACCCCATTTTAAAGATGGGAAACTGAGGCACTGAGACACAATGGCCCAGCTCCACTTAGGCGCCTATCCCCCAGTTTTAGTGCCCAGTTTTAGGCAAAACCCCTGCTCAGCTGCCACCCTAGCCTGTTGGTGCCTAAACTCATTCAGCACCTATTGTTTTACAGTAAAAGTTCCCTTGGTGTCAAAGTCTGTGCCTCTGTGCATGTGCACTGCTGCCCCACTCTAGGCATCTGGATGCTTGTCTCCCACCTAAGCCTCAGTTTGATCCACAAACCTGGGAAAAATAGGTGTTCCTCCCCTTAACTCACCCATGGAGCCTAATCTGACAGGTATGTTCAGAGGCCACCTATCTCTACCCAAAATAGCAGCACTTGGAGGTGCTCTAGAGGGTTTTCCCTGGGGAAGTGGGAGACCCCAGGTTCAAATCCTGTTCTGCCTGAGAAGGGATTGGAATAAGGATTTGCTGCTTCTCAGATAAGTGCTTTAACAGCTGGGCTATAGGGGGATTCTATAGGGGCCACCTAGGTCTACACAAAACAGCAGCATGAGGAGGAGATCCTCTTCCATCCTTTTAGCTCAGGGGCTAAGGCACTCAGCTGAGAGGTGGCCCATCCCTGTTCCAATCCCTTCTCCTCAGGCAGAGAGGGGAATTTAGCACTATATTTGGAAGCCCCCTCTTAGACTGCTAGTGATTTTGCATGTGTTTTCCGGATGTCCTTTGCAACAAGTAACACAGCCCCTGTCCTGAATGCTGTGAGATGGGGACAGACAGCAGAATCACACAGCCTTTAGTCTATAGGCATCCTTCTGCAGTGTGTCCTGACCGAGACAGTTAACCAGATGTCTGATTGTGGCCACTGTTTTTAATTGACAGATTCAAAATGATCAGTGCAAAGAGATGGATTCCACGGCCGACAAATGGGTGAAATTAACAGACCACGGCGAATGGGGCTCTCATTCCGTAAGTGCTAAGTATCACTCCACAGAGCTTTCCTTTTGTTTATAAATTAACATTGATTCTTTTGAGCGAGAGAGAGCCACATCCCATGAATTCAGTGGCTGTGAAAGGAGCGCAGCTTCTCTCAGGAGCAAGAGATGTGTGCTCCAAGCTGATGTGTGCTTTAAGGGCCTGATCCAAAGCGTGTTCAAGTCTATGCAGGCCTTCCCACTGACTTCACTGATTCAGGCTCCTTAAGAAATCAAGTAGATATATGGGAATCCAAATTCCACAGGGCGCTCCCATTCATTATGATCCAAATCTTCCAAAACGCTTGCTCGTTCACTTGCACCAAAGATTGTTCCCTGCCATGTGAATGACACTGCAGTCCACGGGCGTTGTGTGCACATTTGAGGATAGGATTTGGCCTTTTAATTTCAAGTGCATTTCTAGGGGCTGGACTGCACTGATTTTTCTCAGCAGTTTGAAAACCAGCTGTGACCGGGTTCCCAGGGGTGCCAGGCTGAGATTGCTCAATTAGGGAGAACTCCAAAGAACGGGGCAGACAATCCCCAAATACTTAGATTTACCAAGCCAGCAACAAAACAGCTTCTACAATACCTTACTGGTTACCCAGAAGCCAAAAACACAGTCCCCTTAAATAATGACAGGTTTCAGAGTAGCAGCCATGTTAGTCTGTATCCACAAAAAGAACAGGAGTACTTGTGGCACCTTAGAGACTAACAAATTTATTAGAGCATAAGCTTTCGTGGGCTACAGCCCACTTCTTCGGATGCATAGACTGGAACATATATTGAGATATATATATATATATATATATATATATATTTACACACACATACAGAGAGCAGGAATTGATATGCAAACTAGATACAATCAATTTAGGATTGAATAAGGACTGGGAATGGCTGAGCCATTACAAACATTGAATCTATCTCCCCTTGTAAGTATTCTCACACTTCTTATCAAACTGTCTGTACTGGGCTAGCTTGATTATCACTTCAAAAGTTTTTTTTCCACTTACTTAATTGGCCTCTCAGAGTTGGTAAGACAACTCCCACCTGTTCATACTCTCTGTATGTGTGTATATATATCTCCTCAATATATGTTCCATTCTATGCATCCGAAGAAGTGGGCTGTAGCCCACAAAAGCTTATGCTCTAATAAATTTGTTAGTCTCTAAGGTGCCACAAGTACTCCAGTCCCCTTAAAGCAACCCTGCCTGGGCCTTCCTCCCAGACAGCCATGTCAAATAGGATGAGGATTATTGAAAATCTTGTTCATCATATGAAGAAGTTCTACCAATCCCAAAGGATCGGACACATTACCCATCAAGTTAATTAATATTTCAGATCTTACCCAAATACACGTTTACAGCCAATTCTTATTAACTAAACTTAAATTTATTAAAAAAAGAAA